CATGTTATTAGTTTATATTCTTTGGTGCATTATTTAATTAAATAAAAATTAAGTGCATTACTATCATTAGTTTAAAAAATTAGGGTTAACTCACTTCGACAAATGACAGCAAGAAAAAAAAGATTGGCGAAGTATTTTATTTCTTGTTTTTCATGTTTATTCTTTATGTCTAATTATAAAAGTAACTAAAATGTAGAAATAGGGATCCTTTTAGGTTAGTTAAGATTATATTAGGTAAAATAAATAATAATAATATTATAATAAAATTGTTTCATGAGGCGCACATGCGAGCAGCAGCAGTAGTTCATGGGTAATGTAATTTGTTAGCGCAACGTGAGATGTATGTTCTCCGGGTGATTTACAACTTATAATGACACGGATAGTAGTTAGACACGGTTCAAAGGGCAATAAAATTTAATTATAAATAGATGTATGCTGTTACATAAATAGAGCTACTTAGGATAAATGAATGTAATTTCATGTTAGAATTTGAAGTCTTTCTAGAAAGAATAAAAAAGGGTAATTTAGGTTTATTTAGATTTTTTTTGGTGGTTACAAGGTCAGTTGAATTGACCGATTCTATTTTGAGATAGGGTGGAGAAAATAACAGATAAACTATAAAGTTTTACTGAAAAAAACAAAAATGTTTGAAATGCATTTAGGAGGTTTTAGGGATTACACGAAAGGAATTTGAGATTATTGATCCATGCCGAAGATATACCCCAGAATATTACATCTTTCACCTCATTCATAACACAAATATATTTTGAAACATATACAACTATATTTAACAAAGACGAAGATTTTCTGTTGTTGTTTTTTCTAATTACATCATGGTGTATGGTGTAGTGCAGAAATGTTTAACAGACAGTACTGACTATAAATATATATTGGTCCTAGATTTGTGGAAAATTTACATCCCTAATATAGATAGCTTGTACTTTTGGCAATTATTTACCTGAATGATACCCAGCAAGTTTGAGAGGATCCCCAAATTTTACTGTGCATAGAATAGGGTCTGAGAGAGCAAATTTTTTTTAAAACCCTGATGCAAACCCTGATGTATTTTATCATTTTAGAGAATGTTAAGTCAACCTTTCTCAATTTTAAACATCTGTATTACAATAGTTTATTAAGTAAAGTTAATTGAATAATTAAAAATACTTTACAAATTAAAAAAATTGACTAAAGTTTCATGTTGCTGATCTATATAATTTTTCATTTGTGGGGTCTACATTTTTATATTATGTTGCTGAGTTTTACAAATCGTGTGCCATAATAATTTTGAATTGTTAAAAATGGGAGTTTTTAAAATTATTGTATGTATAAAATAACCTTAACCTTTTTGCATTATGTTATGTGTGTTAATTGGGGATTTATTAAATAGGCATTCACAGACAATAAGTAACACACTGTCAAACGTGAAAGGAAAAACAGTTTCTAAAAATGATAAATACAATGCTTATTTGTGAGAGGTGAAATAAATATTGAGTAAAGACGATAAAATAAAATGGTAGTATTGGGTATAGACCTAGTAATGTTGGTGGATATATGCTAATATAAGCCTTTTCCAAATGTAATACCTGCACGGTGCAAGGATATTCATTTGCATTATTTCTGCTTTTGCAAGTTTATTCATACATTTCACAGTTTGAAAAGCTTTTGACATTTTATATATTATAAAATCATGTTTGTGCAAGTGTTAATACTGAATCTCATAATTTTTATAGAATGAGCCTCAACATTTCTACTTTACTTGCTGAAGGAAAGAGCTGTGCTGTGAGTTTCTAGATTTTTTTTAGTAAAACTTTTATTTCATGATACTGAAGTCAGTTTTCAATGAGTGTACTTTTCTGGTCAGTTCTTTACATCATATGTTGTAACAGTTTAAAATATGCAATTACTCTATATGATGTAGTACGTGGACCCTATTGGTAGTAAATGGTGTAAATACAAATTGGTAATTTGAGGGTTTAGTTGTTGCTATGTGAAATATCAAAGGATTATATTGTGATGGAATGTTCAATGAAATCAAATTAATTCTGAATAACTCTCACAATGGATTCTTGATTACACTCATTCCATCTTCAGTAAAATCTGAAAATTGTGTTATAAAGATGTTAACTTAAACTATAATATCATTAATCACTAGTTTACCTAGTTATTAAGAAAAGAAAACGAATAATATTTGTTGACAAACTTGATAACATTAACTCCTTAAACCAGAGTAGATGCTGCTAGCATCTGCTCAAAAATCCCAATTTAGCCATTGGACGGCGATAGCGTCTGTTAACATTTACATCTCTTTGGCTGAAACTAATCCAAACCATATTATTATCCATCTTTTATATAAATAGACTGGAAATTTTGTAATTTATGGGTATAATTATTAGGACATCATGAAAACTATTTTGGCAGAACCAGCAAAAAATGAAGGGTTTAAAAAGTTGATCGTAACTATGAATTCACGGTAGTAACTGTTAATAGACTTAAAGTTTACCAAGTGTTTCTACTTGACCCATGTGTAATCGTTATTTGAACTTTGTTAATACAATCGGTATTTTAAACTTCTAAACATTGTATTAAAGCAATTTTATGAATATAGTTCATTATATTTGATAAATTTAATGGAAGTGTTTGAATCATTACATAATTTAATATAAAAAGCAACATGTAATGGTATTAATTAATTTTTGTGTTTTATATAGTGGCATCACCTCCAAGATACTAAGACAGGGAAAATAAATTTGGACATAACATGGGTGGCTTTGAGTGATGATCCAGAACATTTGCCTGCTGTAAGAGTGTTCAGTTTTGTTTTTGTACTAAAGATGATCATGAAAACAGAGAAATGGGAAAAACATAGAAAAGTTTTATTACATAAATTGTCACTAAATGTTGTCTTTCTCTAGCAGCCATTTTAACTTATTCCAACTAATTTTGAATCTACAAACTGGAATTTCAGAGTTTCATTTTTTTATGTTTTTAGAGAAAATATTAATTGAAAAAAAACTTATTAACAATTACAATTTTTATCTATTTTTAGGAAATGATGTACATAAAGAGTTTGTCCTCTAAAACTCCTCTTTCATCTTCATTGTTGCTTGTATTTGTTGACTCTGCTAAACATCTTCCTGTAAGTATAATTTTTTTATTTATTTTACTTTGTTATAATCATGCTGGATCTCAGCTGATGGGGTGCTGTACTGAAAGTGTAGAAAATTGATTGTAAATAGTCACTCTTATAACCCCACTCAGTCAATTACAAACACTGATACATTTAAGAATTCTTAATCTACCCCAATGGTAAATGATGTATTGTAGTAATCATTAGTCAAAAACAATTATCTGCACCTACAGAAGCTGAAATGTCAAAATACTAAATAATAAATCTGTTTTTGGAGGATTTGAAATGTCGCTCTAGTTTCAAGCTAAAAATTTAATATTACAATGTATGTATTTAATCATTCTTTTGAATTTATGATCCATTTTATACACTAGAAACCTGGAGAATGATACCACTTTTAAGGAACATGATAAATGGTTCAATGTTGTAGGCTTTACTGAAAAATAAATACTGGTGACATTTAAAATACAACACATAGCATACTTAATGTTGAATTTAGTAGCAACAGATATTAACATGTGAAGGGTAACATGATTTAAATACATAACTAAGTCAAATCTCACTCCTCAGATTGACGAGAGTTGATGGTATGTGGTGTTGACTAGCTATTTTCCCTTTAGGCTATCACTTCAAAACTAGGGATGGCTAGTGCAGATAACCCTTGTGCAACATACAAATAAACAAGTGTTTCTAACTTACTTATTTCTTTAAAAAAGTGTCTGGTAACATCTTTTTTTTTTAAGTTTAAAAACCTACTAATGGTTTGCTTACAATAACTTGTTAAGAGTTTTTTAATCTTACCTTGGTACTTCTTCAGTTAAAACAGCTAGAATTACACAATAAAAGTAAAACATAAAAAGTAGCGAAATGGAATTTTTTGTTTTGAATTTTAAAAAAAGGCTGAAATTATACCTAATATTAAAAATGTTACTTTTTACTAGTAATAAAAAAATTGTAAGTATTTATTTGCTTAATAATAATATGACAAAGGGTCTGTTATTTTAATTAGGATGTCTATCCAAGCATTTGTCTGTTTCCCATTTATGGCAGACACTTCCCTCACTGTGTTTGAAAAGCTGCTCATGCAAGCAAAACTCAACATTCACTATTGAAATGATGGGAGAACAGGCATGAACAATGTTGATGCTAAATTTGATTTTGCAAGCAAGATATTTTACACTAAAGTGTTAGGAATTAATCACACTATCATTCACATTTCAAAATTTGACATAATAAATAATAAAAATGTATATTTACCATATGTTATTGTTGAGTGGCTCTTAGCATGACTGAAATGTTCAACAATTATTTTTCATGGTGGTCAGTATAAGTAACTCAGAGCTAAAGCTCTGAGTGAAACGAAGATTACAACACAATTAACTTTTCTAAAGTCCATGAAATAATTAAAATTGATAGATCAACTTAATCTTTTTTTCATCACTGGGGACGGGCACTTTTGCTAGTTTAACTTAAAATTTTCCTGTCCCTGTGGATGGGCATATTTGTTTGTTATTCATAGATGGTATTAATATTTATCCATCCCTCATTGGGTCAGCAGTAAGTTTATAGACTTACAAAAGCAAAATCCAGGGTTCAGTTCTCCATGGTGGACATATTTCAGATAGCCTATTGTTTAGCTTTATACTAAAGCAAGCAAACAAACTAATATTTATACAAAATATTTCTTAAGCACATGCATCATTTGTTTAATTTTCAAATAAATTGTATTGTTATTATTTGAATACATTGTTCTTATACCAACCAAGTAGAACCTATGTTATAATCTGCTATTGTTGAGGCCCAATATCTAATTTTCTAATGATTATTAAGCTCAGCATTCTAGCCAGAATTCAACTAATACAATTTCTTGAGTTCAGAAATAAAAGATAAATAAAATTTTGATTTTCCATTATTTCATTTTACTAAGCCTAAAAGTTTTATTTCTTCTGTTCCTCAGAATGCTTCACAAGCTGCATCGGAACCCAGTCCTTTGGTAGAACTGACTGTTGGAGCAAATAAGGTTTGCACATCTGTGAAGCCAAATACCAATGATCCTGTATGGGAGGAGAATTTCCATTTTCTTATGGCTAATCCTGAAAATGAAGAGGTGGTCATTGAGGTATGTGTGTGTGCATATAATGTTGTTTATTATTTATTTTTATAATTATACTTCAGTGGCTCACAACACATCAAGAAACATTAAACATATATAAAATATTTGTGTTGTCTTACTTATACATTTATGACTGTAATTGCTGTATTTTTCTCTCACAACTAAGTCATTTCTTCTGGTTCAAACTTAATGATTGAAAAGAAAAACAACCAGTTCAAAATCGGAAGATGAAATTATCTGCTGACACTTTCCTTCAGGAAATTTTTTCCTGCATATTATACAATCTGTTCAAGAATATTTCTTTAGTAACTTGCTGACTGGTTACATACTATTTGAGATTAAATCTTTATGTACACTTCATTTATAAATTTTCATCACAAATGTTCTGTTGCTCAGTAAACTTCTGTTTTGTGAAATTCCATCATTACTTTACTGTTACATATGAAAATTATTAAGCTGATATTAATGATAATTAACTTGAGTTAGTATGATGAGCAGTATTTGCTAATACAGAAAAAGGTATCTTATTTTAGTTTCTAATGTTAAAACTTATCAGTATGTTAACCAATTAATTTGCAATATTATCTTTGAAAACAAAAAAGCAGTCACAAATTCCAGGAACATCAGTTTTGATCAAAGTTGACAATAACTTATTTAACAGTATCAGCAAAAGAAAATCACCCACGAGGATAAAACCATCTAAACAGCTTCCCAACTTCCGCTGACATTGCCCAATGTTACAGAGTTAAAATATGGATTTATAGCTACATTTTTATGCGATACTAATAAGATTTTATTGTGAGCACATTCAAAGCTTGAATAGCGAGTTATGGGAGAATTGGGTGTTATTTTGGACAACAGCTGAAAAAAAACAACAAATTCAGCTTAAGGTTTATGTATGCATATTGTTATGACAAAATACAAAATGACTCAAAATCTGTTAAAGGTCTTGTAAATATTTTTTTAATTAGATTTGCAGCCCAAAATACACAATTCCTGAACAGTCACAACATGAACTTGTATTAAAATTTCAGTGTTTCTACTTTTTGTGTTTTTTGTTCTGAAGACAGCAATTTATAGGTCTCCTTGTATTTATTAAAATGAAACACTGATAACTACAAACAATGTCCCATAAGTATCACACTTTTTCTGGCTTTCTAACTAAAACCATTACAAATTTATCTAATAGTTGATGTGTTTCCTGAGGGAATCAAGCTTGTACTGAAAATAAAATTTTGAAAATTCTCTGTACAAGAAACAACATAATATATTACATCATTTAATAGATGAAAACCTTGGCTTTCTATTGGTTTTAAATAATATAGTACTGAATGTCAGAGAGAACAATTTGCAATTTCTGAAAGACAGGATATAACAAATAAGCATGGGAAGAGAGGTCTGATTTTCTATTCTATTGCTCTGTAACCAAATGTGATTGAAGGCTATGAAAGGCTATGCTTTGCCTGAGTGATGACAACATTATAATGAGTAATATACGTTAAATTTCATACTTTTTGGAGGGGTGGTAAATAAATTAGAGAAGAGGGGATGTCTAGAGAGAAAATGTCACAATTCTCACACTACGGGAAATTCAAGAGTTTTTTTAATATTGCCTTATAAAAATTAAGAACTGAAAACTTATATACTACTTTTATGCATGTTATTATTCAGTGTTCTTTGGCACTTTATTTAATCAAATAAAAAATTATTTAGTGCAGTACTACCATTAGTATAGAAAAAGTAGGGTTAAGTGTCATCAACAGCAAAAAAAAAAAAGGCCCAGGTAAGTACTTTATTTCTTGTTTTTTGTGTGTATTCTTTACTTATTATTATAGAAGTAACTAAAAATAAAATGTAAAAATATTATTTGCACACACATCATTGGCTTCAAAGTAAGTCTGCTATGTGATTAAAGCAAATGAAATCCTCATATTTGCTGTGCTGATTATGGTATTTTCGATTTATTTATTTTTTAATCCATTGTCAGAATTTAAGGAGTACTGTTATTTATGCTCCTTGGACAAAGTTAAGTAGTGTGAAGGATCACGATCACACTCCTTAAAAATGAACCTCTGAGTTATCCAGAAACTTTCCTGTGTCCTCAAAAATCTTGACCTTGTAAAGAAGCATGAATGTGCATGTACCAGCTGTCTCCAGTTCACCCTGTAACAAAAAAAAAAAAAACCTTTAAAAGTGAGAGTTAAAAATCTGATGCATTATTAAGTGAAGTGATAAGGAACAGGTAGTTTGCTGTAGACCACACTACGATGAAAACTTTCCAACTTGATAAATAGAATGTGAAGAATTTTTTTTTGTCTTTATGGTTGTAGTAGATTTCTTTTATGATGGGAAAGTTAAATTTCTCAAAGTTCAGCAAAGGTGGACACTAGTTACTAGTAGTAAAACGTATTGATGCCAGTTATGTGAGATGAAATTCCTGCTTTCTATGGTTATGATGCCAAAAAGGTACGGTTACATCAAGTTACACCTTTCAAGTTGACAACAGCATTTTTACCAACCATGAGGAAGGAAACCACTTTTAATGCCGTTCTCATCTCTGTGACACCTATGAAATCAGTTGACTGTACACCTAGGAATTTCTGTGTATTTGGCTTGCTTAAACATGGTATTGAAAGCTGATGTCCACATACAGTGGAGGCTCTATGGAAAGTTTGTCAAGATATATAGTCTAACATTGATTATGTGTTGTGAGAGCTTGTTAATATGAACACTGCAGTGTTAGACAATACTGTGTAATTATGACCATCAGACTGAGCACAATTAACAGTTGAGGGGATTGTGCCAAAGTCAGCACAGGACCTGTAACATTGTTTTTATAACGTGTGATTAACCCTCCATAAGATATCCACCCCATTTTATATATTATACATTGATTCTGAATGACATACTGGATGACATAAATTAGGGAACAACAAATTGTTGGCAAAGAAATTAAAAGTAACTAAATTAAGATATGCAAATTACTAATAATTTAAATGTAAAATCCTAACTGTGAACATGGAACTTGCCCCACAGTAGTTCCCTGACTTGTTATACCTTCTGATTTAGAAGTACCTCTAGCAACACTAACATCATGGCTCATAAGTATTGGAGATCTCAGCATGTTTGTAAACTTTAACGGCAAATATTTCCATCCTGAGTGGGCAACATTGCCATATAATTGCTGCTAAACCCAGTATAAGTCTGAGTGTGTTTCTTGGTAATGTTTTTACTCATTCACTCACCAAGGTGGTTACTTCTAGCTGACTCAGCTTTTCTGCTGGGTGATATAGGCATGATATCTACCCCAAGTCTGATCCCAGATGAGGTTTATGATATTAATATCTGGAAAAATAATGGCCAGTCCATTTTTACCATAGTTACATGTTTAAGGGATGCATTAATTGTGTGTTCAAAATGGGGATGAACGTTATTGGGCATTAAATTAAGTTTACAAGAACCAGCAAAAGACCTGATATTGTTTGCCAGGATATTGTTCTTATTATGCACAGTATTCAGAGTACGATTTCCAGTGATGTACAGATCATTAATTTCATCAGAGTAAATGCCTTCTCACACCAGCAAAGGGACCCCTCAGAACTTGTCATTAGTCATCTAATATTGTGTACTAGTTCCTTATTCACAGCGTGAGGGGAGAGAGGGTAATTTTCTTTTCAGAAGATAAAGTTCACTTTCACTAATAGTTCACCACAAGTGATAATTTTGGTATTTACAAGATCTATGTAAGTATTTTGTTGATCCCCAATTTATTTTTTATTCTCTGTATATATTTTTATACTAAATATGCATATTCTCGATGAATATAGAAGCCTATGTATAATCATACCATAGTTTTTATAGATTTTTTTTCCCATTAATGGTTATAGTTGAATATGAACTTTTCTCAAAATATTTACTTTTTAGGTGAAAGATGGAAAATCTGAAAAATCTTTAGGTCATTGTGTTATTCCAACAAATTTCTTGTTGAAAGAAAAGGGGCTACAGCTTGACCAGCCATTTTTTCTGAAGGATTCTGGTTCAGAGTCCCAAATTATATTAATGTTGCAACTCAAGGTAAAGATTTTTATTTCCATGTAAATTTGAAGTATTGCTGAAGCTTAAACAACAACACAAGTACAAGTATTCACGGAACTCTTTAACCTGGTGTAACATTTTGATAGAAAGGCAAAGGAAATCCACTAGATATCTGCATAAAGACATAAATTTGATATATATTTGAGAAATGCTGATGAAAGTAGCTTAGCCGTAATATGTTTTTATTTGTCCTATAATATTTATCTTAGTAGCTTTTATTTTGCAACTTCTTGTGTTAAAAAAAAAACCTCACCAGGAAACCTGGAAGATAGACATTTACAAATAATGTTGACTGTAAGATTATTTAGTAGTCTGTTAATTAACATAAAACTTCTTGAAAACGTTTATAATGGTTTATAATGACAATTTTCTGCATTCTGCACTAAAATGATATGAAGCATGGAACCTAAAACTATGTCAGATATTCAGATAAGAAATAGGAAAAGTATAATATACTCTTCCAAGTAAGAAGGTAAATTTCTGACATTGTATTGACTTTTCTTCTGACTTCCAGATTGTTTATTTAGTGAGATGGAAGAACGGTTATATTTTATTCATGTTATTAATAAGTAAACAGTACCAGATAAAAAATGTTTGAAAAAAAATAAAATAATTATATTTCTAATAAACAAAATATGGATTTATATTTTCACTGAATTTATTTCATTATCATGTTTACATAATTCTGCTATTCCTAAATGTGAAAATAATCTGATTAGTTATTTTTTTTACATAAAGCTGTCACGGTTCTTTCAGTATATGAAAACACATTTAAAAGCAGAAAAACAGCTTTTAAAAGAGTGACTGTTTTCAGTGGTTAGCTTACTATTGCAAGAAGTTGTACTGATATTTTGTGAGGGATGTTCAGAAAGAAACATCCTTTTTCCCATAAGCCAACTGTATCAGGTTATGACCAGTAATGTTTCTCAACTTAGTCCCAGTTCAATAACATATGCCTTCCATCAACTGCTTATAAGTGAATTCTACATATACTATATCTGATAGAACTAAAAAGAAGCCCCAGATTCTGGCTCTTAACTTTCCATTCCTTTGTAGTCATTAATACAATACAAGATTTGACATTATCATGATGCAGAAGAACATTTTTCATTTTGGTGCTGTTGAGGATAATCAAGGAGTTGTTATACCCAGCTGTCGCATCAGATATATTGCAACTTATCATGAAGACATATCAGTGGTGTACATACTGCCATAGCAGCCATTGTTTTGCTATGGGACCTAGGAGCCAAGAGGTCCTGGGCCAGGAGAAAGGTAGTAAAAAGATAAAAAAAAATTCTTGCTTTACAAATACACAAATAATCCACAGTTACCAATTAGTCAAAATACAACAGAGATTCAGCATCGATAGGACTGTTGGAGTTTGGTTGCTAAGGGACTTTGTTTTGTACCACAGACTAACTTATACGTACTTTAAACTCCCACTGAACCCCATTTAAAGCCCTATTTACTAGAGACATCTGGTAGATGGAATTGGGCTGCTATTGTGACATGTAACCAAACCGTGATACATTGTGTCTGGGAAACTCCACACACACTGTATTATGCATTGTTTTATGATATACACAGATTCTGAATATATCTTTACGTTGTAAAATGAAGTTAAAGCACAAATGAAACATAATACAAGTGCTTCATGTTGTTAAAGAAAAGTATATTGTTAGGAAAACATGATGATAATGAATGACGTAAAGGACATACATGTATCTATGCATTGTTAGCTATTGTTTTATCAGATCCATTTGCTTCACTATGAGATAGTATGTTTATCATAACAATTGTAACAAATTTACCATAACAGTACAACTTGTGTACATTGGGATAAACAATACAATATATACAAGGTAACTTTAAATGTCAAATGGCAATGTGTACTGTCAGTTAAGTTTCGTTCTGTAAAATCCGTCTACAATAATAAATCTTCCTTTCGTTTTTTGCTACATAATCTGACAAGAAAACTGCAAAAACAAATAAATGATGCTTAACCATTATCTTTTTAGATCAGTATGTCACTCTGTATTTAAAACTATTACGTATACACAAGTTTGTGCATTTTCTATTATTCTTACAATTATCATTAATATGATTAAAATTTTAATAACCATAATTATATATTAAGATACATTGTATCAAAATAATTCATGTTGTTTTTTTTCACTTTATATATACATTTCATGATATATCTACAAGTAATTCAACAAGGAACACATGCTACACTGTTGGCACTAAATCATATCCTAACAGAACCTGTGATATGCGACATCTTTAACTCTTTTGGATTAGTTGTTGGAATTTATAGCACAACATTCAAAACCCCTAGATTAGGAAGTTGCTTTTGATTTCAATTGACTAATCTTTAAGTACCCTTGAGTTTTGGGGACCATTGTACATGATAATGTATACCTAGTGTCACAATATGAAAGACTATTATTGGTTTGTTGTGTTGTATGATTATATCATGTTATATTATTTCAGTTATTTTTTAATTTTGATGTTGTATCTTTCGTTTGTGACTTGTTGTCGAGAGTATAGAATGAAAGTAAAGAGGTGGTGGCGAAACAAAGATGAGATGAGAGATATAAAGTAGGCCAGCAGAGCATAAAGAATCAGAAGATCACAGAAAAGCTATGGGCAAGACAGGGTTTATGACTGCTGATGTATTTGTGTATATTTAATTCAGAATATATATGTTGATTTGAAATAAGTGTAGTGCATGCCATTCATTCATGATTACGTTTACCGTCAACAAGTCACAGACACCTACTGTAGAAGAATCCACAAAAACAATACCTGTCACAGAAAAGCTATGGGCAAGACAGGGTTTATGACTGTGCTGATGTATTTGTGTATATTTAATTCAGAATATATATGTTGAGTTGAAACAAGTGTAGTGCACGCTGTTCATTCATCATTACGTTTACCGTCAACAAGTCACAGACACCTACTGTAGAAGAATCCACAAAAACAAAACCTGTCACCTAGTATGGTCATAACTTATCAGTTCGCTAACTTAGAATGCAGGGTAATAAACTGTAAAACTAATGATGGCCTAAGTTTCTTAATTTGTTGATCACACACACACACATCTGATATAGACATGAAAGTGGGAAAGCTGCTGCTCCACTCCAATCACATTATGACAGCACTAGTCAGTGAAAATGCAGGAAACGGAGTTTAAAGTCTGTATATCCAAGTCTGTGCTCGTACACACAGTTATGGTGGAAGTTTTTCTCAAAACTTGAAACAGGCAGACAAAATGTCTTGGAGTCAATATCACCACCAAAGTGGAGCACCAAAAAAAGAAAAAAAGAAGATTTATAAAAACAGAAACATTCCAAAATTGATTGTTTTTTTAAACATGGCAATGTCGAAACGGAGAAAGAAGTGAGAGATACAGAACATTTTGAGTCTAGCACAAGCTGTGAAAATAATGAAGTAGGCCTACTATAAACACACAATGAGGAGCAAGCAGCACTTGAAAAAGAAGTACAAAATGAGGGCACCGAAGTTGCAATTGATTATTTTCATGATGGGAAATATCCAACAGATGGGGCTAATTTTCTTGTTAATATTAATGATCACCAAGTGAAGTGGTTTTATAATAGACCATGGATTGTGCCGACCAGTTAGTGTTTCTCATCACACAACAAAAGCAGGTGTCTGATTACAAATAACATGGCTATGTTGTTCACCCAAACTTGATTTGTTATATTGTAAACCTTGCTGTTTAGTTGGTGATGTAGCAAATTAGGGTTTGAGCCTGTTTGGGCTAAAGGAATCTGTAGTTGGATAGGGTTGTCAATAAAAATAAGAGACACATGAAACTTGTGAAACACATAAAGATGCTCACAGTGAAGCAGAAATCCAGCAAGAAATGAACTTTTAGAGACAAGTTCTGAAGCAAGTTGTTAATGTAATGCTAATTTATCTTTGTGTGGCCTGCCTTTCAAAGGACACAGCGAGATCCTTGGCAATGGAAAAAGCAAGTAATTTCTTGTCTGTAATTCGACTCTTACCTGAATACAATCCAGTGTTGAAACAAATCATACAGTTACCGAGTAACTTAATTAAACACCTAATTCGCAGAGTTTAAAATGAAGTTATTGGCATTTTATCTAAAAGTATTGAAAGAGATATTGTGAATGTAATAAAACAAGCACTATTCTTTTTGATGATAATAGATACAATGAAGGATACTGGCAAGATTGGCCAAATGAGCCAGATTTTTCATTATGTCTGTGTTGAATATGAAAATGTCAGATCAACTGCAGTAAAGATAAATTGGAGTTTTTTAGGTTTTGTTGAAACTGAGGATAAAAGTGCTTCAGGCATTGAATCTGAAATTATAAAGTGCATAGGAAGCACTTGGAATTAAATAAATGTTGGGGATAAAGTCGCTGATTAAATAAAAGACACTGTCTAAAGTCATTCTCTGTCAGAAAGAAGTGAGGAGGTATCTGAAGTGATGGGGTTTTAAAAAAAGATTGAATGTTTCCAGTTTGTTTTTCTTGTAGTCCTTTAGTGCAAAATTTTAGAAACTGTCTCTAAAATGTTACAGCAAAAATCATTTGATCTCATGAAAGCCGATAAAAACATTCAAAGTGCCGCTGAAACCCTGACAGCCTATCGTAAGAATCAAAGGAAGACTACAGTTTCTTTTGCAACTTCCAAGAAAGGAGGATCTAAAACGTTAAACAGCAGTTTGTGGATTTAAGCTAGGATCAGAGATGCGAAGCATAATATCAAAATCAGTGTTTTATTGTTGTTTGGACATTATAATGTAACAGCTCATAAACTAGTTCCATGGCGAGGAAAGAAGTGTACAAAGATTTGAAATTCTACAACTAGAAACTCTGGTGTTCGTAACAGGTGATGAGCTTTTTTTCGAAAGCAGAAGAGTTCCAGAAAGCATATAGCAGTGAGATATTGCCATTGTTTCCAAACAAATACTAAGTTTCAAAGCATCTCTTAGGAATGACATTCATAAAATCATTTTAATGAAAGAGATAATCCACCTTGTCATTGTTGAAAACACTGCCTTAGCATCTCTGTTTCCTGACATTTGCACAGCCTGTTTTTTGTTTTTAACCATTCCTGTCACCATTACCACTGCCGAGAGATCGTTTCTCAAGCTTAAGCTAATTAAAACGTACATAAGAAGTACAATATGTCAATAAAAACTACCAGGACTAGTTTTTTTGAGCATATAACAAGTACAAGCAGGAAAATTGAACATAGATAAGATTGTGGATGATTTCACTGCCATGAAATTCATAAGACAGGCATTTTAACTAAGGCTTGACAAGTACACATATACACTCAGTATTCTATTTAAATGTCAATACAGAGTAATAGAGGGTTCTGACTTACTTTTGTGCTATGGAACCTGTGGCATGCTACTTATGCCACTGAGACACATAAAATGATGCTAGCAGCAGTCAGATATTGACCTTTTAACATTCATCAGCCACAATTTACTCATACACAGCATATGAGAAAGAAAATCTTGTTTCTTTTTGGATATCCCTTGAATATTAAGCCTTTTCTTTGTTACTGCAACTACAGGTAATAGCTATCAGTGTACCATTCTTTGTTTTGTATAATTAGAAAATGTATTCACCTAATTAGATCTTCAAATCCCAAACGACTGCTGCAGAAAAACCAAAAGCAGAGGTTAGTGAAGAAAAAGATGATTCTGTACAAGAAGAGGAAAAGGAAAAAGAAGTCTCAAAAACCAATGATGTTGTTGCTCCTTCATTGGAAGATGTTGTTCTATCAACAGTTAGTCCTGTTCTGGATTCGGCTAAGGTCAGCAAAGAAGTTCTAGATGAGAGTCTGAGGCACCGTGGTTCTAGTTCCAAGTAGGTACTTCTTTATTTCTGTGTTTCTCTTTATTTGATATCTTTACTGCACTTAGAGCTAGCCCACCATAATTTTTTTACAGTAAAAGTTTTAGCCAATGAGTATTTGTTTTAGCCATATTTGTCTATTCATAACCACAGTATACATCCGGGTAAGTCTGTGCTGGATGTGTTTAGGAAGAATAGGAAGATTGAAAAGGTTCAAATGGCAGGTGGTCAAGCAGCTTATCCAAGCCCCCGTTGCTGGTTCAGAGAAATGGCCTGAAAGGGGTTCAGGGTCAAAACCACCCACCCAAAATTGATTTTCAGGAATTTTGAGGGATTAAGAGTCTTCTGGAGTCTTTGATTTTATTTTCAAATATCTGGTATTAGAGAATAAAAATTAATCAAACTCAGAGTAATATATATGATCATAATCTATCTAAACTTTAAAAAAGTTATCATGTCAAAAAGTATGAGCAATTAATATTTGTCCAAATTTCTCCAAAACCTGCAGCATGTCTAACTACAGAATGTACTAAAAAAAAAAAAAGACTGGTGCACTGTAAAACACTGTAAAATGAGCAATTAATATTTGTCCAATTTTCTCCAAAACCTGCAGCATGTCTAACTACAGAATGTATAAATAAAAAAAAAGACTGGTGCACTGTAAAACACTCAAAACTTACACACCGTTTCACTGAAAATTCTTCACTAACATTAATTCTTCACTCTCAAAAACTTTAAACATTTAACTGTTTAAGCTTCACTGTCACAAATTTAACTCTAAAAATTGCAACTTGTACAATAACTAACTGGAGATGGGAAAAGTTTTCAGATTGAAATATCTCTTCACTTGTTTATCTGAGTGTCATTGACTGCATATTTTGTGGTCTTTGAAACCTTTTATATGTTGGTGAGGCATGCGTTAAAGTTAATGAGAGATTCATAAAGACAGCAGCATATTATTTTTTGATGACAAACACAACCTTTTGCACCTAGAATAGTTTCTGAACATTTGCATCAATAGAACATTCTTCATATGAACATGAGAAACATACCTTATTTGTATCAAAGGAACCTTTTTTTTCCTCATCAGGAATAAACAAATATTTTCTTTCTTTTAATGTATCCTTCTTAATAATTGTTCTTGTTTTTCATGATCATTTACTGTGACCTAGATTTTATATCAACACCTCACATTCTTTTGTTTCTTTTTTTTTAACCAGTAGTTTAGTGCCTGTAAAAAAAGAAATTGCTCTGTTTTATTTATTAGTTTATTATATCTGTATTTTATTGTATTGTTTGTTTCACCTACACAGTTGTTTTAATGTACACACAATGTGATGTTTTATGTGATATTTCCATTAGATTATTTTTATTATTTTGTTTTTATAACAGTTTTATGCACAACCTTATGAAGGGCCTTGACCTAAAATGCTGTTATCATTTTAAAATAGATTTAGTGTTTCCCATCTGCTGTTGTTTACTTTTGACAAGAAGCCTTTTCTTCCAAATTTGGATGTGACTTGGCTAGAAACTAATAAAATAAACACTTAAAGGTTACAATTTAAACACTAATCTGGTAAATGATAAAAACAAAATGGAAATGTAAGAACAGTGAGCATTTATTAGACGTTTCAGAATTGTCATAAATCCATCATCAGTAATCTATGGTTACAAAACAAACAAACAATAATTACAAATATCATTTGTTTGTTTTGTAACCCCAGGTTACTGATGATGGATTTATGATGATTTCGAAATGTCTAATAAATGCTTCCTGTTATTACGTTCATGTTTTGTTTTATGATTAAGCTATGCTTTCTGAAAAATGAGTTGATTAATAATCTGGTAAAGCATTAGAAACCAGTAGACCTAAAATACTGTGATAAAAATTGCTGATTAACAAAAAAAACACCCTACAACAACTTAATAATGTGCTTATGTGTGTTTGTATGTATATATATATATATATATATATATATATATATATGTATGTATGTATACTACT